ACTGTCCTGCAACTGTCGTAAAGAATATAACAATGGCTATATTTTCGAAATATGAAATAAAATATCGGGTAGATATCTTAAGAGGTGGATCTTGAAAAGTCCCCATACTTAACGACTAGATTTAGACAATATATCTAGAAGTTTAGATGAAGCTGGTAGTAGACAGAGACCTAAGAGATCTCACGGCCAACCATGAAAGTTAAACTTACGCTCTGTAACATATTCAGATGCAGCTCTACGGAAACTGCCGAGAATTGCCGAAAGGGGGGAGAAAAATAATGAAATGAATGGAGTTTTACGTCCTACTTTTCTGCACCATGTGAGCTAATGAGGACGGACAACACCATGCAGGGTGCAATGAGGGAAATTTTACTAGCACGGCGACATTAGCCTGCTCTTTTTCGATTTCCAACTGTCGAGAGATCTTTAACGTGCACAGCCTGTAGCACACGGGGCCTCAATTTATTGTCCCATCCAAACGAGTAGACACTTTTTCCATGTCAGAGGAGAGATCTGGATTAACAAAATAAGAACAAAGTGATACATATTGATACAATTTTATTATTATTATTACTTTTTGGCACTAAAATTATAATATATTTTATATATCTGATTTCTTGCACATTTCCCTTTTATACAACGTTTCTATAGATTACATTCTTATCAATGGTTTTTAATTTTAACATACAGATATCTTGCTTATAAGAAAAAATGAAAATGGGCAAAGGATGTGTATTAGTAGTAATATCAAAATTTGAAAAAATATTTCATAAATTAACAACACAGTAACAAAAATTCAAAAACGAAAAATTTTGAAAATAAAATGTTACTTAAAATTTTGAGTTCTACAGTTGCTGATTTAGAAAAAAACAGTTGAGTAGAAATCTACATACATATTGTAGTTCAGTGAAGGCCTCAATCAAGTAAAGGGAGACTACCTTTATTACGATATTGTATTATCAGACCACAGTTAACTAACAAAATATAATCGGCACCAACAAATGAATATTTTACTAGGTTAGAAAACTATTGAGAAGATCAATTGGGGAGGGAAGTTCAAACAGGAAGGTGAGTTATTTTATTTCATCATGATACAGATGGAATTGTTTGTATCTTGTGAGGCACTGTAGTTGTCTATGGACAGGAGACTGAGTTTTGTCAATTAAAAAAAATGTAATTTGGAATATCAGTCTCAAAACAGTATTTATTTTTTAGATGCATTTAAATGGGACTTTGGAAAAACTTTAGAAAAATAATAAAAAAGTTTTTATAAGCTTCAAAACTAGGTGTCCTGAAAAGAATTGTGCAGTCATCTGTAGGCAGTATGAGTTCAGCTAATTAGCTGAGGTGAAGTCCAATATTATTCCATATCGACTAGCTGTCCTGATGAGGATTGTGTATCTAAAACATGAGTATGCAGCATGAGATAAGCTAATGTTAAGTTCTTAATTTTAAAGTGAGTCTCCATTTCGACTAGCTGTCCTGATGAAGATTGTGTATCTGAAACATGTGCAGGCAGAACAACATTATAGCACTGAATTAAATTTATTCAAATCTGTAAAAATCTGAAAAACCTTCACAAAAACTGTTTTGAATCAAATCCATTTCATTAATATACACCATTCTGAACACACGGTTTATCCTCTTGTCCAAACTTTAACACTAACACAAATATCCTCCATTCCTTATAACATACAACACAATCGTTTTTAAAAATTCAAAAAAAAAAAAAAAAAACCACCGTCACTAAATTAGTTAACAAATCTAGATGCCTAGACATAAATAATATGTTACCACGGTAACGTAACCAGTTATTATGAAATCAACCAATCACATTGCACAAATACAGTCATGTGATCACCATAATATATAATATATGGAAGAATATAAATAATGAGTATAACGTTGCTATGGTTATTTCATTAACCACTGTAAGACTATTTGTATCAGTAATATTGAAGCCAGCATTATCCAGTCCCTTCCGAAACCAGGCTGGTTGTTCTGGTTCTCCTGAGCTTGCTGTAAATTAAAGACTTGACGTTGGAGAGTTTTTAACGAAGTATTCACATCTTCTTGCATCTTTAAGACTGGATCAACAAGTTTCTTGTAGGCTTCATCATTCAGACGTAACTTTCCTCCGACTTTGCCAGGTTGACGAAGCCCCATCGCTGAAAATAGAAAATAAGAAAGTAAAAATACACACTTGTTGACCCCATTCATCAATTTGAAAATTGTGCTCCATGTCTCTAATGCAAAGTATCTTACAATCAACTTTTTTTTCATAAGTATATTTTTCATGGACAATTAAAGATATACACAAAAATATTCTTATCATTTTCTAAAATAAAAAACCAAGGGCCTGATCCTTAACCAATGGCTCACAACCCCTTAACAACCTATATTGATGATAAGAGACAAAATCTACAGGTTAAAAGTTTTGTTTAATATGAAAAAATCATAAGATTTTTTGAGAAACACTGGATTTATCTTTCTGAGAAATCTTAAAACATTTCACAAACAGATTCTAAATAATACTATCTGGTAATCATTTATAATCTTAAAATTTCATATCACAATTTTTAATTCTAACACCAAAATGAATGAACTCATTCACTTATTTATATAAAAAAAATTGAGTTTTACATCCAACTTTTTTTGGATTTGATTTTAATAAGGACCACATGCAGTGTGAAATGAGGGAAATTTTACCAAGACAGCATTATGAGCTTACTCTATTCAATTCTTTGGAAAGATGTCTAATGTGCACAGCCTGGAGTACAGAGTTTCATCTACAGCAATTAAGCAGTTTTAATTATCACTTGTACATAGACCACTGATTTGTAAATAGTTTAAAGTTTACCAGAGTTTGGAAAAAAGGTAGAAATTCTAAAATGTCAAATCGTGCATTTAGGTTTAAACTTTAACACTCCAATAATACAAGGGGATTATTTGTGCCACCAGGATTGTGATTTCTTCTCAAGGGAGATAACTATATTTAGTCCTTGAATACAAACATTTTTGGTTTTTATTAAGACTGTTACTTTATTAGTAGTTGCCTTTTCAGCACAGCTAGCAAGTCATATATCTCTCTTAAGTTAAAAGCAATGAATATAAATGAAAAGGTCATCTAAAAAGCTTATGAAGTTGAAATTATCAAATAGGCACCATTGTTGCTGTGATGAACACAAAACTGAAAATATGTCATTCATTTTAGCTTGTAGAATAATAAACAAACAAATTCAGTGAAGTCAATATAAACGACTTTGAAAAATGCATAGAAGTGATTTTCATTTAATTGCAGATGAACAATGAGTCAGATTACCAATCTGAAAAGTACCATAAGTAGTTGAAACTAAACTCTGTTCACTTGATAAGATATAATAAAGAAAATGATAAATCCCTTGATAATATATTATAAAAGTCACCTAGGTAAAAAAGACAGCCAATTTCATATATATTTCAGAAGATTAAATGAAAAGTTCCAGAATTCAGAATAAAATAGAATTTATCATGCAAGAGATTAGAATAGAGAAAAAGTTTGCCCTCCCCAAACCATAAACTGAGTACTGACTCAAAAATATGAGATGACAGACAAACAAATCTGTCCCCACAAGTTCCTCAGACGTGGCATACAGATTTTATCTTGTCCTAACCATGGTGTAAACACATCAATATATCAAGTCTGAGGCTGGAAGGGCTAAATTCAGGGCGAACAGGGAGGTAGAGATATATCCACTTTAATTCAAGTTTATAAAAACCAAAACCTTATAGAGTTTGATTAAATGCATGAAAAAACTCAAATCCCATTCACCAAATTCAAAAGTTTAGAAATGAAATTTCAATCAAATTTTTCCCTACCCCAAACAATCAGTCCAACTTTTCAACTGAAATATTCCAGTTAGTTCATGAAAATTTACATTTTATTTTCGTTAAAATAAAAAGAATTTATAAGTGAGTTAATTACACTGTGTATTAGATATTGTTACCAAGGCTTCTTACATAATACTTGGCCTTAACCACAAACTCTTAAAGACATCGTAAAGAGGTTTTATTAAATTTTTTATGTGTATCGGGGACACTGACTGCATCAATTTGTATCATTCCAATTTTCATTCCGAAGTCTGTAGTTCTTGCAATCATACTAAAACTAATAAGGTGTTTTATGATGTCACTAGAGGGGAACTACATTATCAATAGTAGCTTCCGGTAACTCCCCTCTAGTGATGTCATAAAACGCCTTAGTTTTCGTGGAATTGCAAGAACCACAGACTTCGGAAAGAAAAGTGGAATGATGCAAATTGATGCTATCAGTGTCCCGGATACACATAAAACATCTTTACAATCTCTTATTATATCCACCTATACATCCTTTTATATCATTATATTCCAAATTAGAAATTTTTTGCAAAAATCAATAAAATAATGAATTATCTGTCCCTTTTGAAGAAATCACAACAATCCAACTGTTTTAAACGCATACAAACTTGGAGTTAAATTTCAAAACTCTAAGGTGCTTTTTAGTGCAAACCACACCCAAAATCTAAAACTTTTAAAAGTTTTTACCGACTGGCCAGGGCCAATAAATCCCTAAATATTAAAAATAGGGTCAACAGTTTAAATAATTTTTAGCTTTACAATTCAGTTTCTGGGGCATTAATATCATAACGAAAATTAAAACTGAAAAATTAAAACACTGCAATTGATACCCAATTACAATTCTTCAGCCAATTCTCAAGAACATTGAATCACTGAACACAATTTTATACTATACTACACAAATATTAGATGTAAAATACCCTTTATTTGAGTGTATGTGTGCAGTTTTTGAACATAGACAGATCTTTCTAAATTGAGGGTGAGAAATATAGACAGTGACAAATTTTTTCAAATTTTTCAGTCATTATTGAAGGTCTATTGTAATTGACTGTTGATTGTCCAGCACTGAAGGAGCTAAAATGGAAGACCATACTTCACAGGACAAAGACCTAGCAATTTCAGTGTTATAAACAGTGCTGCCTTTTTTCTGAAACTGTCTTAAAAAAATTCAACTCACTTGCAGCTTCACTAGAATCACTATCATGAATAAGTTCTGGATCGGGAGTAGAACTACCACTTTCTTTCCGTAATTTGGATCCCGAGCCTCTCTGAGATCGTGTCACGCTACGAAATAATTTCTTCTTCTCCTGTTCCTGACTAGTAATACTCATGGTTCGAACAACAGGTGTTCGGTGTTTTGTGTGCGTCTGTATTTTGAACTCGCGTTCATATTGAAGAAGATCGTTAATTGGATCCCACGGTCGAACGCTGAAATGGAAAAGGAAAAAAATTTAGTGTTTAATTTAACAATGATTTTGAAATAATAAAGGGTGGGTGAGAGAGTGAGAGGCTAGCTCAGTAAGCTAAGGATCTCAGGTTTGATGAGAAAGATGAAAGATCTCTCATCTAGGTGTACAGGGTTTGATCCAGATCTTAGTTGTCTGGAGAGTGCCAATGGAATTCTAAATACAATTTATTCAATGATAAAATTGAGGTCAGAGAGGGTTGATATATAGAAGCACACAGTTGTAAGATAGAACAATAAACTGAGGCCCTGTGAGGTAGAGGTTAACATCTAAATTCCCTCAACAGTTGGAAATCAAGTCCATTGTCATCTTTCCTTCACTGCACACTGTATGGCTATGGCTTTCTTTATTAGATTCATTGCAGATCAGAAGTACGTAAATCTCCATTATAATTTCAGCTCAACACAAAGTCTAAATCAGACTTACTCAACATATCTGTACATCCAATCTCCGGAGATAACGTCTCGTTCAAACAACCTCGGAATCCATTCCTCCATCTTAGCTTTCCTCTCTCTAGCTTCCTGTCTCTGTTGTTCCTCTAATAGATGTTTCTCCTGTGTAGCTCCATGCATATCACTGTTAGTAATGGCTATTCCTACCTTCTCCCATAACCTGAAAAGGACAATACAATAAAGCTTATATTACTATTACTATATTTTGAGATGTAAGCAGTAGTAAACATAATATATATGTCTGTCTTGTATAGTTCAACTTACTTCTTATTCTATTTATCAATCTAAATTGAACTGAAAGTGTTAAGCGAATACAGCCAATCACTCTCGACTTAAAGTTTGTTAAACACTAAACCACAATGTTTAAATCTTTCTATCGAGGGCACTGATTGGCTGTATTACCTAGCATATTATTCAATCAAATCGCTGCATTTCGTTATACAAGAATAGTGGCTAATGAAATCAAGGAATAAGATAAAGTTCACAATGGATTGACATCGTGAAGAAGTGTTCAGTGAACTCACATAATTTACTCCAAATCTACAGGTAAAATTAAAATTTCAAAGGTCATGACCTAACCTTGACCTACCTCTCTGATTCAAATGATTCCTGACATTCTAATGGAACTGTATATCTTTTTAATCTTGAGGTCTTCATTTCTTTATTTACTATTAAAAATGGTGAAGATTCCTGTAAGGATAAATCATTTTCAGACTAATTCAAATAAGATCAATCTTTTGTTCCATTCTTTATAAGCTTTTATTCAAAGTATAGCCACTTCAGTTAGGGTCTAACGACAGCCCTCTTGGACACTGTCAAATAAACCTTTAGACCAAATTGTTTTAACCAATCAAATTCCTTCACTCTCACAAAATCCCAGTGCTGGAGAGGAATAAAACTTGATTGCCAAGTGTCCTAGAATAATTTCCCCTTGCTCGTAGGATGACATCTGTCTTCATTAGCCAAATCAGGAGTGAAAAGCAAAACATTAAATAAAAATTTCAGAAAGTCAAGTTACATACCCCTGAAGTTTTGTCTTTTATCAATATTTCTTGGTCCCAATGTCCATCTATATGACACAAAGTGTCCGATCCAACTTTAATTTTACCTGATACTTTATTACTCGCTTCCCCACTTCCTAAAAACGGCTGAAAAATACCAAAAAATATTCAACGTAAATAACTTTGCATAATTTCTTTACTTAGGGAATTATCTTATTATCTTTTTGACATCCTTTTAAAAGAATCTACATATAGTTATATATACATTTACTTGGTATTTAAAAATTAGACAGCTTTTCATTCCATTTATTTGTATTACTGGGGATACTGATAGCATTAATTTGCACCATTTCATTTTTCAATCAGACGTCTGTGATACTTGCAATTCTACTAAAACTAAGTGTTTCATGTTGCAAAATGACATTTGTAGTGTTGAGATGGAATAAAACACTCAGTTTTAGTAGAGTTGCAAGGTCCACAGATGTCTGACTGTAAATTAAAATGGTGTTAATTAATGCTATCAGTATCCCTGATACACATAGAAGCTATCCTGTTACAAGCCCTGTAATTATTAATGCCCCTGCTCCTACCTTTAGTTTAAACTCCAGGTCACATCTATAACCTGTTTTAGGACAGTTGATGGTAACCTTTCCTCCCATCTCCATAGTTAATGTTCCAATCAAAATACCTAAAATATAAACAATTAGAAAATAACAACGAGTCACACTGTCACAGTGTTCTGGACAAGATGAGATTGTATGAACAAACAGAAAGAAGTTCACAAACTAATAGGAACATGAGAACATTAAACAACTTTGGACAAGATTTTGATTAACAGAATTGTCTTGCTTGTACGGATTTATATTATGAGAGGGAATTAATTATTGATCACCTTTAAAAAATTCTTGACCACATGAGAGAACGAACATGAGAAAATTTTCAAAGGCAGTTAGTTTAGACATGATGGTCCCATTCCAAGCTGATGTTACGATTCCAATGATCCAATGATTGAACTATAATCCATTCTTGATCCAATAAGCATGTCTTTATGACGCTGACACGGATCAGGTTTGAAATAAGACAAGAATATCCAGTCTTACCTTTACAATGTGCGTAGGGCATGGTGATAAAATAATCTTCACCACGTTTTAAAAAGGTTAATTTGGCTGTTCCATCTAATATTGCAGATATTGAATTACCTGGAAAATATCACAGTGTTATTGAGTTTCATATATATCAGTAAAACAGAGACAAGATTTATATTCCTATCCAGAAGTTAAATCAATTAATCCTTATTGTACTTTAAAAAATCTCATATCTATCTTAAAAATAGTTCACAGAACAAACCAAGATACATCTCATCCACAAAGACATCCTGATCGACGAATCAAAGTCCGATGACCTTGAATAAGTCATCTTTACTCATAGTTCCAGTCGACCCAGCTGTAAATGGGTACAGATAATCCAGGAAAAATCAATGCCAAGAGGTTTGGCCAAGGACGAGCTAGTAGAAAGGATCCTTAACTGTGAACCTAAGTTATTATTCTTGTAAAATATAGTTCTTTCTTTCTCTCTTTATCTCACAGAAAATAACTTGATTTTAATAAACTAAAACCTATTTCTTGTTAATTTCAATGACTTACAAATCTTATATACTGCAAAAACATTGTAATTATCTGTTACCTTATAGACATTTCAAAATATATCAGGAGTTCTGCTGATCAACATTAAGTAAGAAAAACCAAAGAAATTGGATAATAAAATAAAAGGTAACCTACCGTAGAATTTGGATTTAGCGAGAATACTACCACTTATACTAAAACCATCATGACGATTGGTGATATGAAACGCTGATACAGGGGGATGATGGGATATCTAAAACAGAACAACAAACAATCAAATACTTCATAAAAGTTTCCAGTAAAAGGAAAAAATTGTCACATATATTTCAATACAATAACAGCAATGCTTCCTATCAAAAATTTAGAATCTATATGAAAGTAAGAAATGAGATAAAATAAAATCATGTTACCTGTTCTGCCATGTAGAAAGTTCGACTATTAGTTTTAGGGTGTCTCCAATAACAGCGGAATACCTCTCCAATAATAGGATTATATGGTTTCTTTAGACCCTGAAATTAAATACACTTTTCGTAAGGTCAGAAAAAGGTTTCAGTCATTTGGAAGTGATGAAATACCAAAGCCCTCATTTGCAATGGAGTTGGGGCATGCTAAATAAACTTACAGTAGAAATAATAAAATAATAGGCGAACTATCTTAACTTTCCAGAAAAAATTTCCCTCATTGCATACATCAGTATCATCAATTTAATTTATCACACAATCTTCACCTTTGGTTTTTTATAAAAGCCTGCTAGGTACCAGTGTACGACAGCTTTCATTCTAGAGAAGGGGTCTTCTTGTAATACAGCTCTATAATAAAACAACACAAGATATATTTCAGGTAATAGAACAATAATGGTGTTTCTATCCAAAATAAACTCATCTTAAATCCCTCAATCTCCAGTCCAAGAAATACAGTAATCTATTTGATTGATAGAACTTAAGAGATGGACCAATGAGATCAAGAGAATGCTCAAATTATTTTTAGCTAAATAAGTTTTGTGGAAAAGGGATGATGGAATCAACAGGAAGTGTAATTAAACAAGTTGGAACAAGGTTCAGAATGACAAGTAAGTGTAGCCAGAATTCAAAACGGCAGAGAAAGGTATAGAAGGGTAGATTGATTGATTGTTGATATATACCGTTCTGTACAGTTTGAATCTAGAATTAGAACAGATGGAACCTGTTCAGTCCACGTATTCTCAAAATGATCTAGGATGTCCTAGAATCAATGATAAGAAGATAAGAACCAAGGACATCCTAGCTCTAAGATCATTTCGAGAATACATGGCCTGAACTCTCCAATCAGACACCACACTACAGTAAAGAATATATTTAAAGGGAGATAACTTACTCTGACAACATATCAGCATGATAATAATAATCTGTTAATTTATCTAGAAATGATCGAGGTTCTAAGATAAACGTTGGTAACACGACTTTAGACAGATCCATTCCAGGTCGAACCTACACAATATAAAAAACATTGATTAACAATAATTATTGACCAATGAACTGTTAAATACTAGTAGCCTTTGTTTCCGTAAAGTTATATTTAGATCATGTATATAAAAAATAAGACTGGAAAACCTCTCCCAAATCAACCAGGTGATTGTAAGAAAGAGTGGATTAGGTTTTAAGTTTTTACCTGTTTAACGAGTGTCCATATTAAACTTTTATTTTCATCATTAACTTCTTCTGTTTGACATTCATCACCTTGCTACAGATAGAAAATAAATAATCTTTATTATAAAAACACACGTCCGAAAAATAAGTCAATATTTTTTGTAACCCCCCTCGTATAAAAAAGGTCATTTTGATGAACATTCACTATCTCATATGAAGCTATTTGGATAAATTGAACCACAGTCCCATCAATTTATTGCCAAGAGGGAGATACAACAATGATAATGTGGATTCTGAAACATGTGTCGACAGCATGAAATGAGCTCTAGTCAATTACTAAATAAAAATCAGACAAATAGGTCAGTTGTCTGAAGAACGCATAGCGTGAAACTCTGAGTAACAACATGTTTCAGGTTCTGTTTTGATATCTCTAAAAATGAGTCAATATTGAAGAAGTACCTGGCCAAGTTCTTCCTTTTCGTTTTCATAATACTGTGTCTCTACTGGCTGAACGTTGGTGTTATACGTCTTATCATCTTCAAACTCAGAACAACTCGACTCAGTTTCTGTTTTAATTTCTTCACGATCTGTTTTACAATCTTCATCTAGTCCTGAAATCAGAAATAATATCAATAATTAATTTACATCTAAATTTCTTTTCAATATTTACTAAGTATCAGAGAAAAAGCAAATCTATATCAATTATCTTAAGTCTCAGTTCACGTATAAAACTTTGAATTTTGAGAAAACTTGATGGCACGTTACAACTAGAGTTGAATTGTTTATAATGCTGTAAGGGTATTTCATTTCTTCCACAAATATAGGTGCCTTGAGTTCGAATCTTCCTCATACCAATAATTCATTGACTGTCCATTACAGTTACCAAAGTTTGATATCAATAACGAACATGATCAACAAATTAATGACATTCAATAAATACATCTACACACCTTGTCCTTCAAAATGTTTTTCACAATCAGATTCGTTTAATTCTGTTGGTGATTGAAACGAGGTGGTTTCCATGGTTTCTAACTGTTCTGCAATGGCTTCCGAAGTTAAATCTCGTTCCTTGGTCATCGATCTCATCAATAAACTAGTACATCTTAATGCTAATTCTAACGCGTCCATCCAACACTTTCCGGCCGACTCGGACGGTGCCCGGAAGATGAGGTATGAATATGGAAGAGGTTGAACGAAGGCTCCGATTGTCTCCCCTTTTGGTCCCTGAAAGAGAAAGAGAAATTGGTAAAAAGGACACAAGGACCAAGTATCACTTTAAATGTAACTAAACAAGAGGCTTTTATTAAAAACAGTGATTTGATTGGTCATTAAAGCTAAATTTCAATATTGGGATTTAGCCAATCAGAGGAAGTCAGAATTTCATGAAACTAAACCATGTTCTCTCATTTATACAGGACTAAATATACACACTGATCTTTTCTTACATTTTACTTTACCATGACAAGCATTCACCAAAACTTCCACCAAGAAAAACCCACCAAAAAAACACATGCCTACAACTTTCAGTTTATATTTTTAATTTCAATCATCTATAATAAAATACTTACCCTTGTAGCCCAGATAGATTGGTCCAAAGGATGAAAGAGTTTGAAACAGAAGCCATCTTTTTTTGAAGGTCGTTCAATAAGTCTACATGCTGATAATATCACAGTCCCTATCCAGTTACTACTCTGTAATATACACAAATACAGTTTTAATAATCGTATCAACTCCCAGTGTAAATAAAATAAAATATCATATACCCTGAACTCCAGGTAATATAACTTACAGCGTATAACATTAACATTATGTGACGTCACTTGGTAACGGTCGCTATACTGGCTGCTAGGGTATATATTGTGTAATTATTTTGCCACTAGGTTTGAAAGGGCTATAGTGCTGGGTATAACCAATCATGCAATATCACATAACAAGGTACAGATTGCTGCTCACCGAAAAATAGCTCTCATACAACAAGAGATACAACACATATTGCAATGCAGGGTAATAAAAAAAAGTAGCACTTTATTTTCAAAGTTTCAAGTTTCAACTTATCTCCTTTGACAAAAGAATGAAATGGTCTTTTTCATCTTATTTCCGTGCAGATATATGTAGCAGACTCATGGTTAATTTCCAATCTGACGGAAACACTAGAAGCTTGTTATGTCAGCCAACATGGGGTCTGATTTTCCTAGATTAGATCAGTATATATTCTAAATGCACTTTTGGGGCTTTCTTATTAATACTGAGTTACATAGCCTACCTTTAACTTATCACTCCTGTACAAGACGATCAAACCTGGTTTTAAAACACACCATAACTTGGTCCAACTTTTTAATGTGCCCCGTATTTTTAACCAATCAGCTAACACTATAACTGATGGATCTTTTAACGTAATCAATAATTCTTTAGCTGCTTGTTTCTTTTGACTTCTATAATTCTTCTTTTGAACCTTTATTAAACAAAATTTAATTTTCAAATGGTTTTCAGTAACTGGTACTGTATATTTTGGTGTATAGTGTGCCCTTTTTCACCCTCTAAGGACTTGTCAAACTTGGGGGGAGTGTGTAACATATAGGGAGGAAATATATCAATTGCGTCGTCTGCTAAAAATCAGATACATAAAATATAAAAGATCAAACAGATTTATATCAGGAATTTATAAGGACAATAGTAATTATTTGTGGTCTGAAAGTATAATTCAGCAGTTACCTACCTTTAAAGACTCTCGTTTTGAAAGTTTAGAGGAAGACATTGATGTGGGGTTAAAACTTTTATCGGAAACGGGTGAGAATAATTTACCATCTGACTGAAAACAGAAATAGAGACTTGATAAACAAACAAAATAATACGTGTAAAATGAAATTTGAGTTGAAAGAGACAAGAGGTAGACATCTAAATTTCTGGCATTAACCAACTGATGGAGCATAATTCCAGCCATCTGTATACCTTTTAGAAATAAACTATCAGTTTTTATCATAACTGTCTCTACGGCAGGAACTAACACTTTAGATCAGTGAGAGTAAAAAGAAAATAGATGTCAGAGTTGTCAGACATGAATAGCTTGAATTTATCTCTAGAAGATATTAGTTGGCAATGACAATAATTTAGACTACATTTCTTCACAGAAGTCTGAAATTTCACAGAGTTGTTTGTTGAATCCCAGGAAAAACAGGTGCAAGATTATAGTTCTGAAAGTTGACACTGATGGTTTAAATATATAAATAACTATATCTCCTTCTGTACACTTCTGTGTTTCTGTTTGTTTGGACTGCTCGATTTTAACTTGTATTTGAATAGCAGGTAAAGAGGCATTACATCACCATCTGAGAAAATAACTCCAACAAACTTACGCTAGTTCTATTCCGTGTTGATGTGGGTGTACTAATGATAGTTGACATGGGATGAGCTGATGCAGAAATAATCCCCACCCCATCTCCTGTCTCCCCTTCTGAATGACCTGAAAATACGAACAAAATCTTGAACATTTCTTCAAAAGATCCCATGTATAGTTGCAAGCCCTGTTCTGTGGAAAAAATGAGAAAATATCTTCTTGAATGATCCAGGATGGCTATTGAACTCATTTTATGTCTACTTCATTGATTTTATCATCTTCAATGATCTAGGATGGCTATTGACCTCATTTTATGTCTACCTTATTGATTGTGCTGGAATTTGATTAATGAATACTATTTTGAAAGGTTTTCTCCTTGAGATTAAGAAAATAATATAGTCTAATCATTGTTAAGTCAAATTTACTACTGGTCTTGGTGAAGATGTTAAATTTGATGTGTTCATCTAATTGTGATAATCTTTTAATCTAGATAATCTCTCATGCTATTATCCATTGGCAATTAAGGTCCTCGGAAATTAAAACGAAAAAATTCAGGTGACATTTCCTGGTGTTTTTGTAAGATACCGGTACTATAGATGTTCTTTGAAAACTAATTAATTTTTTATAATTAACTGTGTAAGATGAGAACAGTATCTATCAAATAAAGTGAGATTACAGCAGCAAGTTTCTAATTAACAGGTCTACAGATTTATTACTTCCACTTTCTTAATACAACTCTCTGACATTCTGAACCACGACAGTTTGTTTAAGACATTTATTTACGTTAATACTATAGGCAGATGTGCTGAAGGCAGACTGGTTTGCCCGAAAATTTTGCAGCGGATTTTCTTTCAGAACTTAATTATTTTTAAAGCATCACCCGAAAACATTACTTGTCTGCCCAAGGTTTTTCGGTTGCTGCCCGAAACGATAATATTTGGGCGCTGCCTTCTCCTATGCCTATAGTTAAAATCTTAACTATATACTGGGTTGCATTATCTATGTAAATTAACTATTATAATAAAATAATTGTCAATGGTTAAGGTACTAATACATGAGGTAAGGTATCACAATATAAAATAGAGGGAGTCAAAGACTAGTGTTAACTAATGAGGGATGCCCACAACAACCTTTAATATGAAGTTTCTTCTACTACAGTGTTAGACTTTACAGAAATAAGCCCCAAAATAAAAGCTTTAAATCAATGAGTCACATGATCAATGCATCCACCAATGAAAACTCACCTTCAGAATGCGTACGTCTGCCAGCACTTCCACTTCTGTTACGAACTGGCAGTTTGTCATTGTAGGACGTAGCACGACTTAATCGGACACTTTTAGATCGAAACATGATGAACAGGATTTACAGAGAGTTTACAATAATTAGTATGGGTGGTTCAATATTCAATATTTGTCAGACATTGCTGGTAAACACACGAAACAATAATCCTGTTGATGCCAATGATCAAACTTTTTACTCGAAAACTAATTCACCATATACTGTTTATATCAAACATGACTGGCACAATACACTTGAATCAAAATCCTCATCTATTCTGTTGGTAAAATGTTAAAATTAATTCTTGAGAATCAAAAATTTTCACAATGTCAGACATTAATAGCAAATACACTGGAAACAAGAACCCAGATCAATTCTGTAGATAATATGTGGGTTGATTTGGTTAGGATATTAATACTTCAACAAAATATCTTAATAACTGTCATACATGACTGGCAAATAAGTCTTAGAAAAAGAACTTGGACATAATTATGAAGATTGTCTCAAAATGGAAAAAAAACAAATGGAGTTTTACGTCCTACTCTTCTGATTAGTCTCAGTGAGCCATTAGCCAATAGACTATAAATCAGACATGACTGGCAAATACAACTAGAACAAGAACCCTGTTATCTTTAGTAATTGAAATATTTGTTATGTCAGCGAATCAGAATCAATATGAATAAATGAATATTAATTAGGTGAGTTGAAGCTTGATGATGTCATGTGATCTTCACGGGGAGTCTGTTTATTCTTTACAACACTATGATGAAATGAAATTAAGTTGATACCACTGTCTAGTATAATTTATGATATTTTACTGAGTGTACAATGAGGGAAATTCTAGCAAAACATCCAAGTTAAATATAAACACCAATTAAATATGATATTTCTCCAGTGTGCAATAAGGTAAATTTTGCAGAGACAACAACCCCAAATTTAAAAGATATTAATCGTGACAATTTGTAGTGTGCAATAAGGAAAATTTTGCAGACAACATCTTCAAATTTATAAGATATTAATCATGATATTTCTCAAGTGTGCAATAAGGTAAATTTTGCTGAGACAACAGCGCAAATTATAATAGCACTAAGTGTACAGTCAGGGAAATGTTGAAAAGATAGTTGCATAAGCCCACACTTTTACTATTTCCAACTGTTAATGGCTCTTCAACGTGCTCAAGATGCAGAAAATGAAAATTCCAAAACTTAATCATTATTCAAGACGTATTTCTTCATCTCATGGGATCAATTATAGCAACATCTTAATAATTCCTATTTTCAGTAGACAATATCATCTAGTATCATTATCTAACTCTTCATCATCCAGTCACATTTTATTTCAACCTAAATTCTGTAAAACAAATCAAGTGAAATCACCAACTGTAACCACAAACCAATCTTTGTGGCGTCAAATGTGAAGTTACTTTGTTAAAACATCAAACTAGTTTGTTACTGTAAGAAGTCCTATGATAAAAGAGATCAGTTATCATCATTCACAAATCCATACTGTTGTAACAATAAATAAACCAAGTACTAACAGTCCGAACTGTAAAATGAAACCCAAAATCCAAAACAACCTGCTAGCAAAACATTGGTAGCAGCTGATGAACTTTTCACATGAAGAAGTATATCAATCATAAGTGAGTAAGCATTTCATAATGAAAAGTGGTATCAGGTGTCTAGAAGAGTAAGCATACCCTGCTTGGCGCAACACCCATCATATCTGCTAATCAATGTATATCACAGTATTTGTCCTATCATATACTCCAAATATATTCTGTTTTCAATGTATTACAACTAAACCAGTCTTTCCTATAGACTATATCTTCTAAACAATTGCTATATAATAATTGTAGAGACTAGAATATTCCACCACCAGTCTTGTCACGATATTGAACAGATTCAGAATAAAATAAACACTTTTCATTATCCACAATTATTCACGTTGTTTTATCTGACATCTTTCTCGAAGCTCGCGTTAGGTCAGCTTTTCACCAACTAAATCTCTTAATGTAATAACATAAAATCCAGTTTTATATCCTGGCTTTCTAAGGCTTATTCTTTGAATGACATTAAGTAATCAGCCTGCATTAAGGAATGATACACTACTTTTATAGAATACAATTCTATCTGTATTACAGACAATGTTTCAATTAAGGTTCTCTGATCTTCATCAGGCAATATGGGAAGGAATATATATATATATATATATATACATAGGGCTGGTACCGATTACCAAACTGAGATCGATTATAGATAGCAGACTATTGATTAATAATCAAAATTGAGAAAACCCTTAAATACTAAATTTTATAGCAGTCAAGGTATAAGACAAAGTTGGTAATAGTTTGACATTGTGAAGATGTGGAGCTACCAAACAACAATGGTTTCTAGATATAAACTTATTGAATCAAAACAAGCTGTTACAAATAGAGTAATATAAACAGGACCTTGATTTAGCGAGTTCATAACAGACGTGATATTTCAACACCCCAAGGGACTTAACTCTCATCATCATAACATAATAAACTTGATTGGTATCTATAATTGATCCGGGACGAACATTCGTCTAATGTTCAACTCTAGGGGATTAATATTATTCATGTACTATATAAACCAACATGCTTTATACAGTCTCAATATTCATATGACATAGTATTCCATTGTATAACATTATATTACTCAGCATAACTTTATATTCCATTGCAATACTTTAATATTCTCCATTGTATTACCTTATATTCCATTGTATAACTTTATATTCCATTGTATCACTTAGCATTCCATTGTATAACTTAATATTCCATTGTATTACTTTATATTCCATTGTATTACTTTATATTCCATTGTATCACTTAGCATACTTTAATATTCCATATTCCATTGTATTACTTTAATATTCCACTGCATTACTTTAATATTCCATTGTATTACTTTAATATTCCATTGTATTACTTTAATATTCCATTGTATTACTTTAATATTCCACTGCATTACTTTAATATTCCATTTTATTACTTTAATATTCCATTATATTACTTTAATATTCTCCATTGTATTACTTCATATTCCATTTTATTACTTAATATTCCTTTGTATTACTTTATATTCCATTGTATTACTTTATATTCCATTGTATTACATGTATAACACTGTATTATTTAGTATTTCATTGTATTACTTTATTTTCCATTGTATTACTTAGCATTCCATTTTATAACTTTATATACCATTGCATTACTTTAATATTCTCCATTGTATTACTTTACATTTCATTTCAGTACTTTATATTCCATTGTATTATTTTATATTCCCTTG